TTGACGACTCGGTTTGAGGGTGGTTTTTTAGATGCAAGTGCTATACCTGCATTCAAGATACTGGGAAGTGTTGTGCTTTACACTCCGATATATGTAATAGTTTCCACAAATAATTACATACTGTGGATGTTGAGCTGTGCCAGTGTTTTCATGATTTGTTATAAGTGCCTCTGAAGATGGTTCCTTGGAACCGAAACATGTAAGGCAGATGAGATAGATAAGTGACCAAAATATATATTGTTGCACTTGACGGAAAATCTATTGACAATTGGTGATTAATAGTGTAACGGACCAAAATGAAACAATTCAAAATGTTATTGTTTTAATTCTTATCAACTTATGAAAAATATTCATTATGTGTAAAATTTACTTCGACAATTTTTAATTCCTCAATTTTTACTCTTTTTTTTTTTTTTTTATTTTACTTTCCTCCAAACTCTCACAGCACACCTGTGAACCCTTTGCATCCCACCAGTGTGCTGCAGTACACTATTTGAAAATCACTTAGATGTTATGTGAATGGAATGAAAATTCACCATATATAAAAAATGTTGCAAATACCGGAACTGTAAAGTTCTCCAAGTGTGAAAGAATTTGAATTGATCTGTTATCTCCATTCATTTGGGAATTCATTCCATCTTGAGTAATCCCAGTAAGACACACACATATTATGTCACTGGAGGAAGGTAATGACCAGGGCCCGGATTTTGATGACCTGAAAATATTTAAAAAATGACCTAAAGGAGAAAGAGAAAGAACACTTCGCTTCCATCTTATTCATATTTCAGAAAACATATGAAGAAAAATTTCCTAAAATGGCCAAAAATAACAAGAAATACCCTTAAAAGTCCAAAAAATTATCCCCAAAAGAAAAATTGACCTTAAACCTAAAAATGTCAAAAAAATGACAAAAAATTACCAATAAAATTGACATTTCTGTAACCAGCAGCTCATATCTGAGATTTATATATTTAAGAGCATCGCGTAGGATACAAGGAAAAAAAGATGACATGTCATCAAAATCCGGGCCCTGGTAATGACCTATTTGTGTATATTACCAGCAAGCCAGGAAGTCATCTGTTATTTTTATTTGATAGTATGATGTATTTTACAGCAGATTATAAGTTCAGAGTATTTGTTTCAGGAGCTGTGAAGTTCGGTGACCCCTTGTATCCTGAGGAATGCGATGTCCTTCTGAAAAACTTGTCTGAGTGCCAAGTGCCTTTTCAGTGTGCTCACGGGCGACCAGCTTTAGTTCCGATTGTGGATTTGCAACATATAGAGCAAACTCAAGTAAGGTTCTTGTATTTATGGATACTTGCAAAAAATATATCACATATTTAGATGTCTATATCTACTATATATGCAGGGTTCATATCAGTGGCCAGTTTAAACATTAAGACAGTTTTGAGAATATGCAGGCCTCTATGGCCTGTTACAGGGACAGCTTTACCTTTTTTTGTTTTGCAGACTACAGGCCACGGAGTTAGTTTGGTTCTTTGTTACCTAACAGCATTAAACGTGAAAGTGAAATTCAATAATACAAAGTCTGTATGCAGCTGAACATGTTTTATAGATTTCAATTACATTATATTAATTAAGATTAATAATAAAGAATTGAATTGAATTGTTACATTGGTTTACTGTCACAGGAGTAAAAAAATCTCATATTCTAGAAGTATATATAGTTAAGGCTCCAGAAATTCTCAAGCTGATTGAGGCATTACCCCAAGTTAATCGAAGCACTCTGAAATGATTTCAGATAGCGATGATTTGTTAGTAATGGGTTTGAGATGCCCCAGACTTATGACAGATGAACTTACAGACTGATATGACTAATCAAATCCTCTTCTGAGGATTCCAAGACATGTATTTCCATTGAAATTTTAACTTGTTTAATTGCTTTAGAATTTGTGAAACTGTTTTAATGACAAAAATGTACTATGTATCTTATATTAATGATTTTCAGTCATCCTCTGAACTAAGTGAAGATATTTTTTATGGTCTTCCCTTGTATGCTACTTGTAAATTGATTTTCTTATTGCATAGTGTCACAACCCAGAGGACCACAATAAAAAATATTTCAATTTGAACATTTCATTAACGTCATGTTGTATTAATGTTTCCCTGTATTAGAGATGAACGGATTTTCAGTTCAGTATTATAAATTCTGAGCCGAAATACAAACCTTTCATAATCCATTCTCACTAAGGTAAAATGGTATATATGTTAATTATCTTTTGTTTTCCCCATAGGTTCGACCGAAACCTCAACTCTGGAAGCTGAAGAAAGGGTTAGAAAAGCCATCTAACTTGTGAAGGAATCAGTCATAATATTTACTATGATGATTATTTATTACTTTATTTATTTTAATTTTAATGATTTATGGGATGGTGCAAGAATAATGTAATAATTGAAGCAGACCTAAACTGGAATATTAGCGTTGTATAATACCTTTGAGGTTGTATGTTAAATAGAGAATATTTACATTTTTTTGTAAAATTTTTATGTAACAAACAGAAAAGCAGTGTCATATGCTAATGTTATATGCTGTTCATAATTGTAAATAATAATTGTTCACATTTTATCTGTATTGTAATCAAAGTTATGAGTATCTTCTGTAGATGGCCACATCAATTTCCTGGCAGTGCATGTGGAATTTGTGAAGGAAATTGTCAGATGCACAAGTTTTTCTCTAAGTGTTTGCTTCTCCTGGTCATCAGTCTGCTGATGGTTGACATTTGTCCATCACTGCCTCTGTACGGTAAGTTCAGCTAGCCAGCCAGCACTGTACAATCTCACTTCTTAGTTGGGCATCTCTGTAGAATACGTAACAGATACAGTAGAACTGGCATACAGTGTTCCTTGATTTAAAGTTTTCCCTCATTTAATGTTCAGTTTCAGCAATCCCAGGTCAATAATATTAATGTTAAATTACCTCCATTTAAGATATCCTTGTTCAAATTCACTGCTTCCAAAAGAAACATTAAATGGGGATTGTACCCAATAGCTGTTGTATTAAGGAGTTCGGGATCAAAAGCCCAATTTAAGAATTTACAGAAGTGATTAAATTCTGTTCTGCTGTACACATGTTGATCTTCAGAAATGCATATTTCCAGACTTTATTTGCAGATTAATTTAGAAAGTACTTATCTGGTTGATATTCAGAAGGCATCTAGTCAAAAATCACTGCTAGGTGATTTGTGCATTGTTCTGTCGAGTATTGAGGTTACCTTGGCATGTCTTTGGTATTGCTGAGTTCCACTACATGAGACTTCTCCAGCTGGAAGGGGCATATGTGTCATGCATATTCCTTGCTACATTCACCTGAGATGCTGTGTATGTCTGAAACCTAGTCCTAGGTCATTCTTCACTGGTCTTATATCTAAGGTCCTTTTCGTAGCATGGGCATGTACTGTCTTTGTGTCGAATTTGGCACGTAGCTTGCTGGTGTCTGGAACACTCTGTATCAGTGGTAATATGTTTATCCTAGTAGTCATTATTTTTGTGAGTTTAATTTCTCTCCGAGTTGCAAGGCATGGTGCATATCTGTTTAGCATATCCATTCTACCTTTATTGGGTGTCAAAGTCAATCATTAAGACCTGATGAGCCACAGATGGTATTATTTATATTTTGTTATAACTTGGTCTGTCATATTATGGAAAGAGCATAAATTGAATGTGTTTGAGAGCAGGGTGCTGACAGAATATTTGGGGATAATAGCTATGAAATGATAGGATGCTGGAGAAAATGGCACATTGAGGAGCTTCATAAATTGTACTCCGTAGTTGTTGTTAGAATGATCAGATCAAAGAGGATGAAATGGACAGGGCATGCAGCATGCATGGGAATAGACATTAATACAAAGTTTTGGTGGAAAACCTTATGGAAAGAGACTGCTAGGAAGATCTAGACACAAATGAGAGGATAATATTGTGCATACAAGAGTGAGAGCCTCCACGACTCAGTCCAGGTGGTGCAGTGAGTTTTCCAATGAGGGTAGCCAGAAAATTTGCTTACAAACTTATGGTTAAGCCATTTAAAATTATTTTTACTGACAATCCTAGGGTATTCAGGATATAAGACAAAATGCCTTTAAAGTACTTTCAATTTATGTAATTAATG